AACACAAATCAAGTATAATGAAAATCGATCAGAGAACCGACTGCGAATCGACCTTCACTTTCACGGTCCCTTTGATTTCCTAGCCAGTTTTTTTTGTTTTTGTATTACATTTTTTCGATTATAACTCATCCAATAATCCTTTAATTATCATCATTTTCAGAAAATAATCATTGAATAATTTAAACTTAGAAAGTTGTATTTTTTGCATATTACACTTTTCATGAAAATATATACACAGTACATATTCTCTCGGAATACTTTAATATTTGAAAAAATTTTAATGACTCACCTCAACTTTCAAGTTCTACACTGCTACCAAATAAAAGGTGAGAATAACTACCATAGTACAGGTATTAATAAATATACATATATATTGAATCAATGCATGATACTATATTTATTATCTACTGGTCTCGGTTCGATATTACATGTTCTTAATGATTTATGAATTACATTCCAACAGTGACCAGGTTTTATTTTTATTTGTCGTTTCTTAAATTCTATTCTGTGTGCCTGTTACGAAACTTCATCTTGATGTAACATTATCGACAAAAAAAAAAGTGGTTTTCATTTAGTATCAAATGAAATTTTACAATCCATACTTGATATAAAACAAATTGAAAGTGACTTAATGAATTTATTTATTCAATATCGTACTAATGCATCAATATTCTTATGAACATTGAGATGAAAGTAAAGATGATATGCTAGTACATGCAAAGCATTTATAACTTCGTTCATCAATTAATATTCTTATTACATCAGCACATTTAACTTTTGATACTTAACAAAGCTACAGTAGAAAATTATATTAATCATTTAACAGAAAAGAATGATACAAATGAAGAAATATATGATAATCAACATCTTATGAAAACATATAATCAATTATGAGAACTTCATACACTTTTATGTTATCGTACAACATGTCGAAGTCATTTTAAATTTTATTCTGACTTTTTTTTACGTTTAACTTCTGAAGCTGTATTATTTCAATTACTATATTGTACCATATGTTCTTATAATACCGAGTGGATATTGTTTTCATAGTTTAAGAAATGAAAAGTTGTCCGTCAGGTTATTGAAGATTTATGAATAGACGGAAATAAGTGTGAATTTGTAGCTCATGTGAGAAAAGTCGATATTGTCATTGCTTACGATGGAACCTTCTCAGATGTCCTCTTCAAATTTCAATGATATTTTTCTTCTATACATATGTCAATTTTCGAGAGACTACAGGTTTTGGAAAGCGTTGTACATACAGAGGGTTCAATTAAACTAAATTCCATAAATGAATTCAGAAGTTTGGAACAAAGTATCTTCTAGATATGAAATTTTCAATAAATGTGTGCTGTATACACTACAAATGTCCATCACAACTGAAAATTACAATTGTAAATACTATATTCTTTTACATTGATACAAGATTAAAAATTGTTGCATTCCTTGTATGAGAAAATTATCATGAAACTAAGGGTTTGGAATCAGTAGAAAATTCTAACTGATGCCTGCCGCAATGGATATCTCTGGTATACACTATTTATGAAAAGGGTCTCATATTTGAAGAGACTTTGTGCAAAACTACTCTAGTCGGGTTTTCCAAAAATCTGGAATCTCTCGAAAATAGACAGACACTATGCCTGAATGGCTGCGTTGTACGACACGTATCTAGAAAGTATTGTATAGAAATTTCACTACCACTCTCTATAGGATGATGTTGAATGAGTCATTAGCAGCTATTTGTCTTAGATGATTCGTTCCATAGTAGGCCAATCTTCTTTTCATAGCTACGACTGACTGTTCATAGTGATAGGAAAGATAGCGGACTAATAAATCCATCGCAAGGTAGTGGAATATCAAAGGTATTCCTCCTTTCTTCTGATGATAGACACATTAAAAATTTAGTAGTTTAGTGTAATCTCAATACGAACCTAAATCTTTTAAGGATTTTTCTTAGAACACTAGATAGTATCCTAAGTTTCGACTGATATGATACTGTTTTGTACAAATCAAAATTTTATTAATTGGCATCAAAAAGAAAAGAGTGAATCAGAATTTATTCAATACTATAGACTTTTAAATATAAAGTTGTGGAAGTTTTTTTCTTGTCTTTTTCATATAAAAAAAATATGTAATGACTGAATATAATTCCAAATAAATTTGCAGAAGATAGTGAGTTCCTATCTCCAGTCCTTTTAAAAATAAGTGCAGAAAATTAACTTTAATGTAAAAAGCATATAGAAACTTGAATATTAGCATCGATGATTAGAGTTATAAGAAAATCGTTTTAATTTCTTCTTAACTTCTAAAATAAATTTAAAATAACAACATTAGCATCTATATACTTTCATAATAAAATCAATTTTTCTGCTTAGTCCAACGTTAAATTAGGAGATGTATTCTTTCAATTGAATAAGTAAAAATGAATTTTAGTTATATATCATTTATATTTTATCTAGATCTTTGCAACAGTATTCTTTACCTTGTATCATTTAATTTATAATGGGGTAATAACTTGCTCAACTATAAATTACTCCTCTAATAAATCTTACATATTCAAAGATTCTATTTAGCTAAATGAAATTGTAATCGAGAATAAAACATTCACTCATAGTATGTGCTTGTTCATACCGATTGTTTGACATATGTTGTCGAAGGCGTCACTTATAGTTTAATTACAGCAGATCTCATTATAATTTATATAATTCTGACTTTTGACTTTTATTCAACAAGGTTGAAGTTTCTTACTTTTGTGCTACATTTTTCAATATTTGATATTCTTATGATTGACATGATTTTTAAAAAATATCTCATGGATTGATCAAACATTTTCACCCCATGGTCTTATTGAACAAAACCCTAGAAAAAATCTTTCAAATAAAATATTAAATACTACTTTATATGGTCAAGACCATCAATTTAAAGGACGATGAGGAAGCTGATAATAACTTTAGAAAATTAAAAACGTTTTCACTCGGTCAACTTGATCACCATCTCGTGGTTTAAAAAAAAAGACATAGAAATACAAGTAAAGAAAGGTATATTTCTTGAATCTGTTTTTGAAATGATTATCGATTCTAAATTTTATAGGAACATCGTCATTCATTATCTAAATAATGGAAATCATCTGAATATGTGATTTGATATTAATTCTATATTTTTTAGTTTTAGTTCAAAATGTCAAAAAACCAATCGAATTAATAAAGTAACAAAAAGAAAATAATAATGATATTGAAGAAGGAGAATCAATAGTTATTGAAACAACGATGAGGTACAACAAAATGTGTATCACTTTCATTAGAAGAAATGCTTGAATAAAATAAGAAAAAACAAGCAGCAATATCACAAGTAATTGAAATAATAATTTTACTATTGAATTTTTTTAAAATTTGCTAAGATTTTAGTACTTTCACAATGATTTACCAAATGACTATAATGAGACGGATCCGAATCATGACGGTTTTACTGAATTTTCCATTCATTTTCAGGTACTTACTGGAAAATCTTGGGTGTGGGTGTGAGTTGACAGGAGTTGAGTACACTCACACCCACACACCCACACCCACACCCTCCATATCCATGCAGTGATACGCATTTATTAGCTTTAAAATATTTTATTATATTTGACATCCATTTAAGTTCCAAAATGAGTGATGAAAAAACACATAATCAAATCACAAATGAAAGAAGAGAGAAATTCTTTTTTTGATCTGACAGAATAAAGATCGCGACATCTAGTCAATAGATCCTTGTGGTCTAAAAATCAAATGATTGTTGACTCTCTGACAGATCTTAGACATACAGTCTATAGGAAACAATTATTTTTGTTTAATTTATATGGGGAAGATACATATAATGTAAATAAAGATAACTCAAGCTATGTTTCATTATCCAAATCTGACTGCTTTTTCTCCCTCCTGATGGATTGCACAATCCATCTTTGATTTAATTTATATTATTAACAAAATTTTTCTAGCTACGTCTTATTTTTAATCATCTAACAAAAACATCTGATAGATATATTTTTGTTTGAAAAAAAGTTTGGAATCAATCGATGTTTCATTTTTGAGTCACTTGAATAGATCATTAAGTTCTGTTATAAAAGCATCTAAGTATTGATTCGTTCTACGTATGGCATCAGTCGGTTGCCATGTTGTTATTGATTTAGCAGCGTGGTTTTATTTCTTTCTTTCCAATGACTTTTGATGAAAACAAAACAAAATATACGTATTTACTCTCTTCTTTATTCGATAAAAAAAACGTCTAGCTGTTTATTGTCCAAAGCAAGACAGAAAAATATCGGCTTTTGTGTATTTTAGTGCAAAAAAAAATCAAGAAAAATCAGTTTTACTTAGATTCAATCTTTCAGATTTTCTTCATTCGAAGACAAATGGCTGCTCAACAAGACCAACAATCAATAGATAATTTACTTGATTGTCCAATAACAGGAACACGTTTTGTTGATCCTGTTATAGCTGATGATGGATATACTTATGAACGACAAGCAATTGTTGAATGGTTACGTCAAAAACCAGTTAGTCCTATAACACGACAATCAATGTCTATTGATTGTTTACGTTCTAATCGTATTGTTAAACAAATGTTAGATGTAGAGAAAAAAGCCGAAAGACAAAGTTATCGATTTAAATTAAATATTGATGTAAAAAAGAAACGAAATCGAGCTTTATTTCAAAATGGTGATAAATTTATATACGAAGCTGAATGGTTAAATAATGAACAAGGACCCGAAATTGTTCTTTTACATATTCGCGGTGCTCGTGCATCAAAAGAAGCCTCATTTTATGCGAAATGAAGTGGTCATCCGAACATAATTCGAACTTTGGGTGTTGTAGAATCAAGCACTGAAGAAAATATGGGTATAATGTTACTTCAAGAATATGCTCCATTAGGTGATTTATCAGAATTATTACTGAATCAACCAAGATTATCCGACAACGCACATATTTTTTTGTGAAATCTTTCTTCAAATTATTGATGCTATGACTTTTCTTGCTTCGAAAAATATTGTTCATGGTGATTTAGCTTGTCGAAATATCTTAGTATTTAGTTATCATCATACTGATCCAGAGAAAATTCTTGTTAAATTAACAGTCTTCGGTTTAACACGAGCAAGTACTACATATCAAAGAACAAACTATGTAGCATCAACAATTAATACAGTTCCAATTCGATCGAGTGCACCAGAAATTTTGCAATCACCAAATGATAGACAATTTTATACGGAAAAATCCGATATATTCTCTATGGGTGTTCTTATGTGGGAATGTTTGTCGAAAGAAGCAATTCCATGGGTTGAGAAATCAGATAAAGAAGTAATCAGAAATGTTCTTAATGGTGAACGACTAAAACGACCTAGGAATGGTCAATGTTCTGATGATTTATGGGCAATCATTTTAAAATGTATGGCACATCGTTCAGAAGACAGACCAACTTTTGTTCAACTTGATCGATTGATTTCAAATTTATTTTCAAATAGAGTATCGATGTTTAGCAGATATGCACAATATGCTTTTTTACAAAATCAGGTTAGTGTTAGATACGGTAAGATTTGTTCATATGTTTTACATTCGATAGAGAAATGGTGAAACAAATTCAAATAGTCGATCATCTACCGCAATTGCTGCCACTAGTTTTCAACCATCGATTCTCGACAAGCAACAGGTAACTTTGTTCATAAATTTAAGACAGTATTTTGAGCATATATGAAGAGGGAATCACTCAGTCTCAATCATTGATCTCGGTGAGATATCAATTTGAATAATCAAGTACAGATGAATGATGTATTGCTTGATCTCACTTGATTTTGACAGAGATCAACTGAATAAGAACCGAAGTACGTTAGGATCGAGATCAAGATTATCGGTTGTGTCATGAGTCTTGCCATATACTTTGAGTATCATTCAAAAGTCACTCATAGAGTTAGAATATATTTTATCAGCAAATATTTATTGTGTTGTGACTAAAGTATTGTCTTTTGTATTTCCAGTGTCAGAAGAAAAAATGGTTCTAGTAGAAGGTCCATTAATAATACAAAACGACGGTCGAGCTGCGGGATATTTCAATTGTCAGAACGATTTTCTCGGGCTTGGCGGCTCAAATCTTTATTCATCTGGCACCCATCGTATTAAATTACAATTCATGGCATGTGAAGGAATTACACAGATTGAATTTTTTGGTATCATCAGTGACAGTCTGAAATATCAAGCTAGTATGACACATTGGACTGAGATGGCTTGCACCTATGGTTGTGGTACTCGTTTTAAGTGTGAAAAAGGTAAACGTTTCCCCAAAGCCGAAGATCTACCAATTCGTAATGGAACTGTCATCCAACTCGCGCTGGATTGTAGTAATCATAAAATTTGCTATAAAAACGGTAACTCTTATGTACAAGAAATTCTTATTGACACACAAGTATGTCCATTTCCATGGAAATGGCGTCTTCGATTTTTCAGCAAAACAGGATGTCTTCGATTGACATGAGGGCAAAACTATCCTACTTATCTCGTCATAGTTTTTTAATAAATATATCAATAATCATATATCATACTATTTAGAATAAGAAAAATTGGTCAAGATAAATTGGAAAAAATGCGTTGTACTAACTTTTTATGTGCATGAACTTCATGAGCGTATGAAACAGACAAATGAGAGTGCATTTCGATCCTTCTCAAAGATCCCATCAGATGACTCTACGTCATTTTGTACAGTTTGATTACTGGGTACTTTTACTATTGCCGTTAATAGTTTTAGTTTTGGGTTTTATGGACTGTCGACTTGATTCATTCGATTAACTTATCTGTACATAATAGTCAATAAAAATTGCTAAATCAAAAACATACAACTGATCGTAGGTCTTTCATATTGATGGAACTTGATGAATGATAGACTATCTGTTAAAGTATTAGTTCAGATATTTTATTAGGGTGGGTGTGGGTGTGAGTCTTTTCTTCATCGATACGCCCACACCCACACTCACCCTCAAGTCTTTTATTATAAGCCTTTTTATTAATAGAAACTTCTCATAAAAGTGACGAGGAGGATATCATTTCCTAGGGAGACCTTTGCAATTTTCTTTAAATCATTTGGATCAGATTTTTCTTCTTCTTTTCAAAGATTCACTTATACTTCTTAACATATGGTTCTTACGAAAATTCTTTTACACACATAGAACTTTAACACATCTTTATCAAAATTTTTTCGTTGAAAATTTCAAATATATCAGAGAATTAAATCATTTCAAACTATCTTATGTGAGATAAGATTATATGAAGAATTTCATTTAGCAGATTTTGTAATGTATATCAATTTAACTATCTCTAGAAAGCAAATTGTTTTCACAATAAAAATTGTCATTGTAACAACATATATGTTTAATGAGAAAACAAATGTATGGTTCATTAATTTATTTATTTATTATTATTGAGATTTCTTTTACAAAATCAAATATTTGATCTATACATAATTTGATTTCTAAAAAGGCAGAGACACTTTTCTTTTCAATCAACGAAATTTACGTACTTCGAGTATAACAAAATTTTTTCTTATTATTGTCAACAGATAACAAACTAATTGAAATTATAAGATTTAAATAAATAAAAATAAAGCATAAATAAAGATACCTCATATTCAGATCAATTTTATTAACTAATAATCTTAGTAATTTCCTTTGATACATTATTTTATTATTTGCTTAGTTCAATTATGCATTGTAACAAGCCCTCTTCAAATGAAATGTCTTGCTTGTACATTTTCTCACCTATGATTTACTCACGTTTGTTCACTTTTTTTGGAAAGAAAAAACAAAATAAATATCGCAATAAAAGTGTCTCTTTTACAAATACTCGATAACTACATCAGTTCATTACGTAAATCAAGATAATTCTAATAAAAAATATTCTAGTCTAGCTATGTAGATCTTTAGCTGTGTATATACCTATTTAATTAATACTTTTTCTAATTGTCTTTATAAAATTATGAAAAACGGATATATGTCCGAAAATGCATCTATTATTTTCAAAAACAGTAAAAACTTAACGAGAAAAATACACAAATAAGTTATTGAGTATGTTTTCATTTTTATGAAACTTCATAACATCCCCATCCAATCGAAACAAAGAATATATCGACAATAATTTGACGAAAGATTTGAATAAACTAAATACTATGAAAACAAAAGGAAGTTCTTTTATCTGTTGAACAATTTCTCTCAGAAGGAAAAATAATTAGAAATAAACGAATACACTTACAATGGTCTATTACTATCATGAAATCATTAGATTGACAAGTTTATTTTTTACTTAGTTTTGTTTTTATCGTCTATGAAGTTGTAATCTATAAAAACACAGAATATACTTCATTTATTTCTACGCATATGATGGAATTTCATAGCTAGTGATTTTTTCAGTAACTAGAAACAATTATCTATTTCATTGATCAATATTAAAAATTCGTGAATATTTAAACTAACTGAATAGATTTGATCAACAAAAGCATTTTGTTTTTGAAATTTTCAATGAACAAAACAAGTCTGTTCTTTCTTATTTTTCTCAATTTTCATGATTCAATTGATATGATCAAATAACCAATTTCACTAGCTCCTAGTGACAAGCGATGCATTGTTCAAGTGGAAAGAAAAATTTGTCACAAATGAAGAAAGAGTACGACATTCCTCTTATCTTAACGCATTACATTAGATTACGTTTAAAAGAAAGTGGAATATGTAAAAACGATAGTGCTTATAAAATCTAAACTCAATTCAGTCTCTCTACTAACATTTTATCTTATGTAGTTAGACGTGAAAAAAAACAATAATATATACTGTATAATTAGCTGTTCATGCCCACTGAAGCATGCACCTCAACATTCTTTTTTTGTATCATTCACAATCACGAAATGATGAAATCTAATATTGAATAACATCATTAATATTGAAAATAATTTTGAGAGTTTTATATTCATCACTATTTCTCTGAATTTGTGAATGCAATTGAATACATATAAAAATCAGTAATACAGGTCATTGATAGTTTTTTGTGCATATTTTACAGAAAAGGGTTTTGATAATTGCAGAACCTGCTTATCGGAAAGATTTATTATACAATTATCGTTCAAAATAAGTGAATGATAGTTACTCCTTTATTACATTTATTGTCTACTCATAATTGATACATATAACTAAGAAAATTCAATTTTATCGTATGCCAGATTTTGATGATTATACCCATGTCAATATCTCAACTATTCTTACAATGAAGAGCACATTTTCTACAAAGTTAATATGTTCAATGAATCATTCTTTGTAATCAAGCGAGAAGTCTTCATTAAAAGAAACTCTAGTTGATGAATTAACTTGTTTTGGATCCTTATATCAAGACGAACCATATGAAAAACTATTTTTTGATTCAGTGATCAATTTTTGACTCGAAAACTTATCATTATTAAGTTTCATAGCAATTTCATACAGTACACTAGAAGTTTGGTTATGTACGTGAAACTAAGAAATGTTTAAATCTTTTATAAAACAGAAAAGAAAGGCAATAATTGATAATTACTTTCTATAGATATTATCTAATAAATTATAAAATTTTCTGATTGTATTTTCTCTTTCTTGTGAAATTTAAAAAGAAAAACAAGGTTAAGTTACGGAATGGAAAAAAAACTACTAATTCTAAAAATTCATTTTTGAGACAAGAACATTTTATATTACGAAATCATTATATTTTGGATTTAT